CGTCGCCCACAGTGCCACTATGTGGCCACGCGATCATGTAATGGACTTAATCTATCCGCGGATTATTGCAGGCCACTTGAATCATGGCTGTCAACCGCAGGGATCCTGCGAAAGATCTCCGGGGCAGGGCACGTTGCATGAGGAGCGACCCGAGCGCGGTGCTGGCCCTAGCAGCGCTGGCGCGTACAGATATATAACCCAACCCAAAGTAAGGAAACGAGTACGTCACTGACAAACTAGGTAGCTAGACAGCTTGAAATGTCAACACACTACACACACACACACACACGGAACGAAATGCTCGTATTGGTCATGTGATCAAATGTCTCCATTCGAAATGCAGTTCTACGCGATGATTTGTACAAATAGCATCAGGCTAGAATGTGTCGATCAGAATCCATGTCGAACTAAAAGGGCCTATAAGTACTCAAACTTGTATAAGTACCAAACAAAATAGTTCAACCAATAAGCTTTACTGTCTTTTAACCGGACAGGATTGCAGAGGAGCCTGTGCCGCTCTACAGAGTGCCACACATCTTGCCAAGTCTACTCTCTCAGCCAAGTTGTCAAGTGACCGTAGGACCACAAAAGAAAGAGCAAGTCCTGTTCCATGACGCCCGTGCGGTTCAACAACGACATCCAGTCCCCTCACTTTGATAAGGCGGCAACTCGAGGAGCAACTTGAGAAATCTCCATAATTATAAGCACATCTTCTTGATGAACTTACATTTAAAATGACGAAAACATGGTCCCAGTAGGCTTTTTTATCTTGGACCGAAAGGGCTTCATTACAAAAGCCCACTGTTTTTACACCCTCTCGTACTTCATCAAGGCCAGCGCACTCATTAACCGACCCAAGCCATGTCCTCCAGAACCCCTTGAATGCGGCAAAAATACGAAACACGAACCGAAAAACCTAAAACAAGTCCGCCACTCGCGAAGCAGACAGCGACGGCCGCCGCCGCGCGTCGATCGCCTGGACGCAGACACCGACGGTGAGCTCCAGCTGAACACCACGCACGGCAGCACGGAGCCCGCTGTCTGATGCGTGCGTGACGCAGCACGGAGCCGGCTATGCGATGCGTGCGTGACGCAGACGGCAGCACGGAGCCGGCTGTCCGATGCGTGCGTGACGCAGACGAATGTCGGCACGCTGTCGCTGTCGGGTGTGTACGCGTGACGGGCGCAGTCGTCGGGAGAGCTGCTGGGCGCACCCCTCGCGGTCGGATGGGCGGGCGCAACAGGCGCATCGGCCGGGGGGGGGGGGGGGGAGGGCGGGTTCATCTGCTGGGGGAGTGTGCCGGCTACGGCTGACCCAGCGGCACCTCACACGGAGAGTGCGACCTGGGCGTCGTGTCGCACGCTCGCGGATGGCTGCGTGACGGACACGGTCGACAGCTGGGCGTGCGGACGGCTGACACGGCCGACAGCTGGGCGTGCGGGCGACTCACACGGCCGACAGCTGGGCGTGCGGACCACGGACACGGCCGACAGCTGGGCGATTGAGACACCGACGGGCCGTCCGGGGGCCGTCATGTGCGTCCGCGCCGCGGCGGGGCGGCGACCGGGGCGGGGCTGTCTGTCGGCGCTGTCGGCCGGCGCCGCGCCGCCCGGGCCGCCCGGCCGGCGCCGGCGGCCGCCGAGACAGGCCTGACGGCCGCCGCCGGCCGCCGCGAATTGCATTAGCGCCGCTCCCGGTCAAACGCGGCCGCGGCCGGACCGGGCCGGCGGTCCGCGTTCGGCCGGCCGCCGCCAGACCGGACCCGTGCCGTGAGCTCGACGGGGGTCACCTGCTACGCACTGGCAGTCATTATTTCAGCTGCCGAACTTGTCGTCGTCGTTGTCATTGGAGCTTTACGACGCACGTAGCTGCTGAGGCCCTTTGGCGGCGCCCGTCTCTGGGGCTGGTAGAAAGGGCGAGCACCGCGAGGAATCGAATCCCGTGCCTCTGGTTTACCAGAAACGCAATGGTTAGCGCAGATGCGTGAACCAAAACACTATCGACACCCCAGGTGCTGAACACAAGCTGTGCCCCATTCACAGATGCCTCACGCCCTGAACGCTATGGGGGGGGGGGGGGGGGGGACAACGATCTAGTAAGACGCTTGGGTACAGCACAAGGATTGCAGCAAAAACACATACCCAGCTGCAACGTCTCCCCAAGCCGTGCATGAAACCCACAACGGAACGCGGGCCAGCTTCCTCGCCGCGGCCTGGAGCACCAGGCAAACTGATGTGCCTTCAGGGAGCACCAGACCCTCGCCAGAGCCGCGGCGGCGGTGTGCCTCTCGTCCGATATGCAGCCACAGCGGCCGCGCCGGGCAGGCGCCACGGGCGCAGGCGGGGGCCGAGTCGTCCCAAAGGCAGGTTCAGCTCGGACGCTGCATGCGGTCTGGGCGAAGGGTGACGCCTTACACCCGGAGCACGAGGACGGAGCACCAGCTGACGTGGCACCCATCGCTCGAGCACCAGCTCAGGTGACACACGGAGACAGGAGCACCAGCTCACGTGACACCCGGAGACAGGAGCACCAGCTCACGTGATACCCGGAGACAGGAGCACCAGCTCACGTGACACCCGGAGACGGGAGCACCAGCTCACGTGACACCCGGAGACGGGAGCACCAGCTCACGTGATACCCGGAGACGGGAGCACCAGCTCACGTGGTACCCGGAGACAGGAGCACCAGCTCACGTGACACCCGGAGACGGGAGCACCAGCTCACGTGACACCCGGAGACGGGAGCACCAGCTCACGTGACACCCGGAGACGGGAGCACCAGGTCACGTGACACCCGGTGACAGGAACACCCGGTGACAGGAGCTTTCAAATCTCAGTCACATGTATTTATTGTCATTCGCTGAAAAATACAACCTGCTCTGACAGTTGTTGTAAATATATAACGCATTA